TCTCAATTAGGGTGCTCTATGAAGACAATGTTGTGACAACTTAAATTTTCATATGATTTGGTTAGTCCGCGACTTAGATGCATCCCTACATATTTTTTTCGACAATAACAACATATCTAATTGTTTCAATTTTGAAATTTGATAATTGCAGACTGCAATTCCCATACTAATAGGGACCAAATTTGATGATTTTGTCCAACTTCCACCAGATATCCAATGGACTGTTGTCACGCAGGTAAGCGTAAATTCTCTCATTTTCTTCTCAAGTACTCATTCATTATATTTACACACTCAATCGGTTGATAACAAGATTCCAAGAAGTTCAAAAATAAAGATAATTTCTTCGTTTTCGTGACTTTTCTTAAACATTCGAGCTTGATATTTAGGGTCTACTTGACACAGATTTTGCTCTTGTATAAAAGCTTCATGGAAAAAATTATGGGCCTGTCTGGGCCTACTTTTTGAAGCAAAAAAATTGATTTCATAGCCGTTACGTGTAAAATTAGGCCGTCTTTTTTGACCAGCCATCTCAGAGGTAGGGTCTACTTTGGCAAAGCGACGATCAATGTTTCAATTTTAAGCTGATAAAGAATCAGAACCACACACGTCCTATATGAGGCCAGTTGTATCTAAAAGCTCTTATAGTCATACTAAACACTTTTTGAAAAATTATCCAAATATATTCAAAAATAACTTATTAATCTCATAATCGGCATTTGTCTTTTTAGAAAATCCTAGAGTCCTTAATTAGGTCGTCTCGAGTCTACTAATACAAACAAGAAAGTTTTTGTTTTGTCAATATTTTAGTTTATTGTAGTTGGTGGGTGGGGGTACAAAATTGACAATCAATGTCCAAATTCTTGAAAATTAAGGTTACCCCTCGATTACTACAAGCCAACTACGAGATATATATATTTATTTATTTATTATTATTTTTCTTTTATTATTGTTTTTTTTCTATTGGGAAGACTACAAGTCTTCTCTGATGTGTCAATTTCAAGACATTTTCCAGCCTTCAGCCAATATAGAAAGGAAATAAGTGTCAAACACGGCGACAACGTGAAAGTTAGCGATTGTGCATCTATTTGTATTTTACGTATTTTCGTAAATTAGGCATTTTTGTAAGTTTTTATATTACGTTCCCTTGCAGGCGAGGAGGTATGCAAAGGCGATGAAAGCAACCCTTTTCTTTTCGAGTTCAACACATAACATTAATGTAAACAAGATCTTCAAGTTTATCATGGCCAAGCTCTTTAACTTGCCATGGTCTGTCGAGAGGAATTTGACGATTGGTGAACCCATTATTGATTTCTAGAATGTTAAGTTCAAGAAATTATGTTAGGAATGTCCATTTATTTTTTTCATCGGTCGCATTGATAGTATCTGGGGCATATATAGGGGGACGATAGGGTTAGCCCGGTCCAATCCCCAACCCATTTAACATTTTTAGTGCAAAAAAATGTATGTAATATATTAGCTCGATTTGTAGTCTGGTCATGAATTTGTCGTGAATAGGATCTTGAGATTCGCAAGAATAATATCTCGAGTATTGTATAGCAGCACCCATTGTCATAAACTGCTATGGTATTTACCCAACTACCATTCTCACCATATTGATCTAATCTAAACACATCACAACTGCTTCAACTTTGTCGCTTGTAGTAACTTTTTTTATCTGATGACTCTCGAGTCATTATTCACCAATTAGTCAGCAAGTGTGTTACATACTAGAGCTCTTGTTCGTTCCAAGTTCGATCAAATATACACATATACGCAAGTACATATACATACACGTAGAGAGAGAGAGAGAGAGAGAGAGAGAGAGAGAGAGAGAGAGAGAGAGAGAGAGAGAGAGAGAGAGTGTTTTTGNACAATAACACCCCTTAGCCATTAAGGTGGACATTTCTACATCCAAAAAGACAGTCACGGCCAATTCTTTTAAGAATCTTTCGAAGACTTTATTCAATTTTGGTTCCACCAACCTCGCATGTTTGTCTTCCAAAGTCACTTATTCAACCCGTTCGATAACTATTATTTTAAAACTCTTTAATTCTTATACTCATTTTCAATTACACATTTACACAATAAACTATTTTGCGAGTAAACCCTGAACTTTTTCCTTTTTTTCTTTAACCACATTGTAAAGTTTAAAATGCATTGAACAAATGATTATTGCAACTATAATGTGGAAATATGAATTCTCAAAGTGTAAAACCGAACAAAAAAGACTCAAAACTTCTTTAACACCACTAATGGAGTGTCATGTGACGTTGAGCTCAGATTTTTGCCAGATCAGATCATGCACCGTTGTCCACGGGAATGACAAAGGATATACCGAGAAATAAATCAGCCGAAAGTTACCAAGAATTTCGTTGGAGATATGAACTTCTCTCACTTGGTTACCTCTCTATGCTTTCTCTCTTTTATTATGCCAAGTCCAAATGAAACGGTGAAGGAGTCTTATAATTGTAGAGTCAAATAACCATTTGAATTGAAATTCAAAGTCAAATATTGTATAATGAAAGAGACATGACTAGTATGTGTAATTGACCACAAGATTAAATTCATTGGTTGTATTTAATCTATGGTCCATAATATACATAAACTAGCACAATCATTTCAAAACATTCAAGACAAATACTCACGTGCCAAGTGGATTAAAGTGATCCACTTCACAAATTTTCACATTGGATCACATATAATACACTGCCAAATTTCATGGTTACAAGTGTTATCAATTAGTGTGATTTTATTTTATCATCGTCGCTCACTCCAACTCAGTACCTGCAAAACAATTAACAATTATCAATACTCAATATTGATAAATATTTATTGAACTTACCCACTGCAAGTACTTTTGTTCCAACATATGCAGAATTATCATCAGTTGCAATTTTATGCAAAATAAAATCACCAGAAGTTAACTTCTCTCTAATGAAGTGATACTTCACCTCAATATACTTAGAATGTTCATATAAACATGATTTTTACACAATATCAATGAACTGTGACTATCAGTATAAATCATAGCATTATCATTCAAGAAGTTTAATTCACATAGAAGGCCTTTCAACCACATGCATTTTTTTACAGCTTTAGTTAATGCAACATATTCTGCTTCTGTAATCGAGATTGTAACTATAGATTGCAACTGTTATTTTCAAGTGATACAGTTATCACCTAAAGTGAAGAAGTATGAAATGGAAGATTTCATGTGATCTTTATCCCCCCCAAAGTCAGAATCTACATAGTCTTTTANTTTTAACTCTAATTTATCACTTCCCCTTTTAAACACTAATCCCCTGTTTAAAGTTCTAGCTAGGTATCTTAACCGCCATTTAAGTGCAGTCCAATGAGGCTTACCTGGGTTTGACATAAACATACTCAAGAAACTAACTACATATGCATGATCCAGTCTCGTTATAATCATAGAATACATCACAGACCTAATGTCATTAGCATAGGGAACATTACTCATTTCAAGCAATTCTTTTTTAGTTTTAGGGCATTGTGCAGATGACAAATTTATGTGTGTAGCTAATGGTACATTGACAAACTTTGTGAATTTCATACAAAATTTGGTTATTACTTTATCCAACTAAGACTCTTGATTAATAGTCATCATATTATCAGCCATATTCCTTTTAATAACCACGTCAAGAATTTTTCTTATCTCTGCTAAGTCTTTCATGTCAAATTTCGATTTTAAAATGTTTTTTTATCTTTATGATTTCAGCTTTACTAGAACTAACAAGCACCATGTCATCCACATATAACAATAAATAAATTTCACAGCCTATTTAGAGTTATTGAAATGCAGACATGCATCAAATTCACTCCTCTTAAAACCAATTTTAAGTAGATGAGTATCAAATATTTTATACCATTGCCTAAGACTTTGCTTAAGACCATGCAAAGACTTTCTAAGAAAACACACAAGTTCCGATTTTCCTCTCACCTCGAACCCTTAAGGTTGAGACATGTAAATCAATTCATCAAACTCCCCATGAAGAAAAGTCGTCTTAATATCTAGTTGCTCCAACTCCCAATCATACTGGACAACTAAGGCTAAAACTAACACTATAGTTTTATACTTAATGACCGGTGAGAACACCTCATTATAGTATATCCCATTTCTTTGAGTAAATCCATTCACAACCAATCTAACTTTATATGTTAAAGGGTCTTTAGGTCCTACTCCTTCTTTCAACTTGTAGATCCATTTACAATGGACTACATTTGATTTTTTGATTTTTCAACCAACTTCCAACTCTCATTTTTGTTTAAAGACTGGATCTCCTCTCTCATAGCATTTTTTCAATTTTCGAAATTTTTACAGGTAACAGTTTCTTCAAATGAAATCGGTTCAACTGATTCCAAGACTTTACCTGAAACTCAGACAAATTCAATTAAATTTGAAGAGATGTATTTCATATTGGGCTTCACTTGTCTTCTCTCCCTATCACTCACTAATTAACAGTAATCCAAATTAGTTCCTGCAGATGTTTCTTAATTAGGGATAACAGTTTCAGGAATTTCAAGTTCTGGTTGTTCTATCACTGCTTCTTGATCAGATTCTTCTTTAGGTTGGATTTCACTATCATCGGATGATCATATAATCTCTTCACCTCAAACTCCATCTTTTTTTTTTTTTTGCAAGTAGAAGATTCATTTTCCTCAGTCTGTTTGTTCTGACTTTCTATGTTTTTAAGGCGAGGCATATTAAGTTTATTGAACTTCACACCTCTATTGTTAATAATCTTGATGTCATTCATACCTAAAACCCATAGCCTATATCCTTGCACTCCTTCTGGATAACTTGTAATGACACACTTAGTAGCCCTAGGGTCCAATTTTCCCTCAACCTAATGTGCATAAGCCGCACAACCAAACACTCCGACGTGTGACAAATATGGGATTTTTCTAGAACACACGGCTTCACCCTAGAAGCCTTTAGACAATCCTGAAATAATCATCATGCATCTAACTTTATCCATTAAGGTCCAATTCATCATCTTCGCCATCCCATTTTGTTGGAGGGTATGTCTCACAGTCTTCTACCTCATTATATCATTTCCCTTGCAAAGATTATCAAATTCAAAATTGCAAAACTCTAAACCATTGTCCATATGGATGGCAAAAAAATTCATTCAACCCGAAACCTGTGGGGCCCCTCCCAGGGGGAGGGTCATTGCCCCGAAGTGGGTATGGGGCAGGTACGAGAATCATAGTCCCCACCCCGCTACTCGTCCCGTTTAATTTTAATTTTAAATTTAAATTTTTTATCAAACAAAAATAATATATTTATCAAATTTTTAAATAGAACATAAGTTGTTTATAACAAATTGGTAAAAAAGTAATAATATTTACTAAGTAAAGACATACAAAAAATAAAAGTAAAAAATAAAATAAAAAAATAAA